GTTCTGAACGGATGAATGAGCAAGTAGATGGGGCTTGTTTTAATGTGGGCTTCAAATCTGGCAAGGCCTCAAATGTTTGCAGGCAAAGGCAGAAAGAAAAAGGAACGAAAACCTCCTGGGTAGAAATTAATGAAAACCCAATACATGAGAAATTTCAGCATCATGTCAAGTACATAGACTTGGTTTTAACCCTTCAAAATCTCAGTAATCTAAGATGAGATGTGGACAAGGAAACCTCTCTTATTTCACTTGGGACATCACTAAGCACGATAGCAATGTTTTTGCTTTCAATACCTATAAAGATAAGATTCTGTAGGATTGGACACATTCAAATATAAGAAGTTTTCTAATAGACTGTCTTCAAGGAGAGCCACTTCTCCATCCTTTTTGTGTTCTGAGCTGGATGGTCGGATAGCATTCAAGCTCAGGTCATCAGGGGCATTTTATTGACTGAAAAAATGGGGAATCCAATAAAGAGCTCTTCAAATAAGTTGGTATGCAATATCAAGAAAAAAAAAAGAAAAAAACCATGGAGACCCTGTTCTCCTCAGCACCGTCTGCAGTGGGAAGATGGAAAGTCTAGCACATCAGAGCTGCTCATCAGCCTTCATTTCCAGGAAGCCCGTCTCTGACCCAAAAAGCCTCTTTCCCCTCCACACTCAGGGTTCCAACAGGCCTAGTGACACAGCCAGCCACCCAGACATGGTAGACAGGCTCTTGAACAATCCTAGTCAGCTCAGCCTCCCAGGGGACCTAGAGCTGGGGCTAAAATTAACTCCTCATGTTTAAGTCGCCTTTCACCTCCCCTCCCTTGTCACCACCACTGCATTGTGTCAAGACAGTAATCAGAGGCTTTATAAGGAACATTTGTCTGGGCGTGGATGCCAGCTCTGGGCTGATTCTGCTTTTACCTCCCTCTCCTGCTCCGTAGGCTTTCTATTTTCAGGTTCAAAGAAAGAAGTTGCTTTTGAGTTCTATACCCAGTATTAAGTGATACAAGATCCCGATAGCTATAGAACTACTTTTCTTTTGGATCCATCCTAATTCACAAAAAGCCAATGCTGTCTGCCCTGGGCCCAGCTGCTTTCTAACTATGTCACACTGGGATGCTTCAGTAGAGTCACATAAAATTCTCTGAATGTCCAGGAGAGGAGAAGATTCTGGAGTTGACCCATTCATCATCCTGATACACAGGGATCTGTTGCGCAGGAACGGTTCTCTGAGAACATGCCCTCAAAATGAGCTAACTTACGCAAATATTCTGCAGGAACTCCTCCACATTTCTTAACTGTTTAAACATTAGCAATAGACAAGTAGCACAACTGAACTCCTTTTGAGAGTTTCTATACTTAGCACTATCAATAAAAGAGGGTAGCGTGGAAAAAGGATGCATCCCTTTTGCAGAAATTGTGTCAAGCTTGCCCAACCAGATGTCTTTGTTCTCTGATGCCCAGATACAGGGGGTATTTTAATCTTATGGTTTAATATAAATCAAACATTGCCAGATTGCTCTAATGATGCTTTAAATTTAGTTAAGTGGATCCTTTCAGTAGCACAGGGAGGCAGGAGGAAGAGAAAATAAGGTATCCAAAGATCAAAAGGTGACCATTCCCAAGAAGTCTTGGAAGAATGGAATGTAAAACTAGATTGGGGGCGCCTGGATGGTTCAGTTGGTGAAGAGTCCCACTCTTGATTCCAGCTCAGGTCATGATCTCAGAGTCATGAGCTTTAGGAGCCCCAAGTCGGGCACTGCGCTGGGCGTGGAACTTATGTAAGATTCTCTCTCTCTCCCTCTCCTTCTGCCCCTTGACCTGGCCTCACCGCTCTCCACTCTTGCTCTCTCACGCTTTCTCAAAAATAAAAATATAAATTTTTAAAACTAGATTGTTCCAAGTAAATGTTTACTCTTTAAAAAATAAGAAAACTAGAAATAAAACTAGAATGTTGGACTATCCACTTACCACTTTCCAGTCCGGGCAATGAAGTATGATGATTACTAGTTCAAATACTCAGTATTTGAATCGCCTCATGGAAGCACATTGCTATTGTTGCAAGGAGGACAGCTTGGGCTCATTACAAATGAGCCTTTTAGCACAGCTAAAAAAAAACCTTTTCTTTTTAAAAGGATTTTCGACTCCACACCTCATAACATCCACCTTTGTGTGGTTATTGGTACTGACCTATGTATTAGGACACTTTAAAAAAAAGGAGTAAGTTTAAAATGACCTAAGAAGAGAGATGTTCATTTCTACCCATGCATTTTTTCAAAATATTCCCCAATTTTTGTGGGAACAAGAGTAGAAATTGTGTCCAGTTGAGAACAGGAGAAGATGGTCTTAGTCCTATCCCACATTTACTATGTGACCTTAGGAAAAACATAGCATCTTCCCGGGTCTCTTTTTAAATTTGAAATGGGGAACAAGAATTCCAAACCTACCTAATTTGTGGGCTATTTAATGGCCACAGTGAAGAAAATTGTGAGTGAATATGTCATAGTAAAACAATGCTACCCAAATATTTGGTCATTTTCTGACTTAATTAACATTTTATATACATTCACTCAATCTGCACATTAGCCCTGGAAAGTAAATATTAACACAACCCCATTTTATAGACCAGTAAACAGAGGTTCAGAGGTTAAGCAGCTTGCCTAAAGTTATTGAGGGGACACTGGATCGACACATAGGAAGAATACATACTTAGAGAAGCAAGAAAACAGAGTAAAAGATGAGAATGAGGGGAGAAAGAACAGAATATATTTCTGAAGCATCACAGTGATCATCCCCCAAATCAAGAGTATTAGAAATTCTTACACTTATTTTATGGTATACTGCTGAATTGCATACAGGGAGAGACACAAAATAATTCAGTGCTCAGGGCCCTAGACTGCCCTAGACTCACAGATGATGGCACCAACTCCAGCCAGATGACTCCAAAGCCCACACTTATAACCGCTCTACTGCCTCATGCTCGGTCATGATAATACTTACTATTCCTAAGTAATGGTTACCAGTAGTTACTAGTAATCGCTTTCAGTGGTAAGCAATGCCATTCAAGAAAAGTTTATTCTGTTTTGAAAACATAGTAAGCAACCCATAATCTGGAACCAAAGATATAAAGAGACAGGCACACAGCCAGGGTCACTGGTTTTCTTACTGTGGTTTTTAAATGACCATTAAAGAGTCTTCAGCAAACTCATGGGTTCTATATTGGCTCAGGGCAAGTGGTTAACATCAATTTAGAAATCTCTGAAATTCCTAATAGAAACAACAAACCCTACAGCAGCATTAGCGGAGCCAGTGATAACACGCATGGAGAGCAAGTTTTCTGATAAGCAGATGAACAGCTTTTCAGATCTCAGGCTATTTGGATTCCCGTGTCCACCCATCTCCCAGAGTGTAAGCACAAAACATTTAAAAATCAGGTCTATTAGTGCCTAAAGAATTTGGATGATGATAAGAATTCATAGCCGCTGCTAACACCTCTGGCTGTCTTCAAAGGCTCAAAGATAAATGCGTAAGGTCATTTTTGTGCCTTAATCTGAGAAGTACTAAGTGCATGACAAGAGACTCCCAGCAAAGGCTGAGCTGGATATTGTGTGGAGACTGAGATGGTAGATAAATGGGTAGGCGGTGCTTTTCATATCAATAGCTTGGGAGTCTTGTATGCTTTTTATAGACGCTCCTATAATCCTTAAACCAGTCACAGGAAGACTGGCTATTTGGGGGTGGGGGGAGGGGGAGTAAGTAGTAGCACCATTCCTTCTGATTGGCTTTTAAAGAAAATTAATGCTGAATTAGGCATGAAAATTATAGCCTTCGAGTCATTCAAAATTCTTGGGCCACAAATAGGCAAATTTACTTTCTGTATTTCTCCCAAATGTGATGATAATTAGCTAAACAGCTCTTAAAAACTTCTGAAAATGTGCTTTGGGCTCCCTTATCCCTGCGCCTGCTTCACTATTAAGGAAGTGAGAGGACGGCAGTAAGAGAATTATGCGGAATTTGAAGCATAGGAGAGAGATTGAAACATGGTCTCGTGCCCACATTAGTGAAAAGTCCAACATTCTGAGCTAGCCTTTTGCATCCACTAAGTGATAAAGCCATTGTGGAACAAAGACCCTTAGCCAAAGTATTTTCCCTTCCTGTCCTGACACTTTGATGATGAGGGCTCAGGACTCTTTTGCTGGGAGAGGTGAGAGATGAGAGGGAAAGCTAAAGGATGATTTGAATGATCTCTTTAAAAGAAGGAAACCTTTCCTCCCGTTGCCCTTGACTTGGCCATCTGGCTCTGGGAGTTTGCTGGCAAATGCTCCTTGACCATAAAATTTAAACAGATGATTAACCCCTCTCCCTCCCACACCAGCATGCTTGCTATTAAAATGCCTACTAGGACTAATCTCTGAATATCAAAACAGTCTTAGCGTTAATGAAAGGAAAAATTGGCCAAGTCAACCAAATGAATGAAACCTCACCCTTCATTTTTTCCTCATCATTACCCTGACTTGATATTCATCCCTTTAAGTTTTAGTAAACTTCCTTTACAGTCTTTCTGAAATCTCTGACCATCTGTACCTTCAACCTTGCCTGCCTAAATGGCACCATAGAGTCCAGATAAGAAAATGGATTATTCTGTGATCATCAACAGTAGCTCACGATGGAGATGGCACCCCATCCCTGCCCCGGTCATCATCTGCAATGCCCTGGAAAACCTAAGGCCATTGTCTCTAGTATGAGCCAGTTGGGTAGTATGTCAGGTTGACAAAGAGTGTCCAGTGCATAGTTAGTAAGTCTCCAGAAGCTCCCTGCACTGAACCAAGACCTGACGCGATAACTCTTCTCATACAAACAAAACAAAACAAAACAAAACAAAAAAACATGACTGATGTGGTTAGTTATCAGTGTTTTATGATATGGGGACAGTAATGAAAAAGTTGCCACTCAGGAGTAAGAATGGGGGAGCCAAAGAGAGTGCGTGGTCACAGAGTGAACAACACGTACCTGTGGGGTAATGCTCATTCACCGGCCAGTTGTCCACCTGGAGTGTGGCGTTGCCGCCGTTCCTGGTGAAGCGCACCACGTGATATTTACCATCATTGACGGGGGTTCTCTCCTCCTTGATGGAGATGTCAACGGTGCCAATATTGAAGACAACTCCAATTTTCCCCTGTTCCTATGATAAGGAAACACAAAAGGCATAGTTAGCACCAACCACAAAGTGTTCTCTTTAAAGTGGATCCTCTGACTGGCAGGAAACCTGTAGATACCCAGAGGGAGCTGTCTGCATGAAGGGAACAATAGTAGCCTACGTTTCTCCATGGGCTTTCATCCGCAGCATAAAAGTCAATGGTATAAAGCCACCCAGATTGTTCTCACGGGCTGCCCTTGCACAGGTGATATCATTTGATTGCTCTCCACAGATATCAAAGCTGGAAACCACAGAACCACGTAAGAGCTGGGCAGTGACACTGCAAAGTACATTTCTGTGAGAGGAACGAAGCCTGTTTTCTAGGGGAGGTAATTAGACACTGGAGCCTAGATCACCTCGCAGTTTGGATTTAGGACTAAAGAGGAAATACAAGCATACTTGTGCATTTCGCGGGGGGACGGGGATCGAGGCCAAGGCAGGAGGGGTACAATGAATGATGAGCAGGCAACAGCACAGAGGATAGCATTATAGATCAACACCCAAGGACATGCCATGTAAGTCTCAAACCCATAGGAAATGTATCCTTAGGAGAGGCCAGTGAAACCAAGCTGGGGTTTTCAGGGTCAGATGGCTGCTACTCTTCTCACACATGTGCCCCTATTCCTAAGGCTCATCCGAAGAGGACTATGATATTCAGCAGTTGTACGCTACATAGCAAATGAGAACCTCAACGGCCCCCCAAAAAAGACTTCTGGGAAGGAACATACAATGAATTCCAGAAGAGAAACACTCTGGCAATGCGGGTGATGATGATGGTGAAGGTAGAGGCGACGGCATCATCTGCTACCTGAGAAGTGCCAGAAACACTGAAATGTGAATAATGCTATTAAAATTCTTACTTTTCTCCTCTAGTCATTGGTTACGACTAAGAGTCAGAAATAGTATTCACAATGAGACACAAAACAGAAGTAAGCTTACTGGCCAGATTTAATCCGTCTCTGTCAACCTCCCAGGAAGGTATCAGCACAGGGCACGTCAGGAGGAATGGGCGAGGACAGGAGGAGACATCTTTCTCCATTTTTCTAGTTGTCTGACTTATTGGCAACAGGTTGAACATTTAAGGGCAATAAAATTTAGTGGTAACCCTGATGTTCTCTTTGTCCACATAGTTAGTCTCTGTTATCATCTCTGTTCTTTTTCAAGAGGTAGAAGGAGAATAAGAAGGTAGAGGGGAAGGAGGACAGGAAAGAGGAGGAGGAGGGAGGAAAGGATAAGAAAAAGAAGTATATGAAAAAAGAAGTCCAGAAGGCATCAAGCTAAGTGTAGGAAGGATTTCATGGAAACTCAGATTTAGTAATTGGGTTCATTTATTTATAAACAAAAATCCATTCAATACATAGCACTTGTTGTGCTTAAAGTCAGTAAATTAAGACTTCTGGTGAGGTTTTAGGCATTGGTTTTCAGATACTTTGGTACACTTCACTTCTTTTTTCAAAAGACAGCTTTCTTCACCTTGCCAATTTTCCTTTAGGAGGTGAACACATCTTATTCCTGATAAAAGAGTGGACAAGTACCTAGGAGTCTTGATTTTAGAAATTAGGCATCTAAGGTGACTAAGAAAGGCAGCTTTCAACATGCAGGGATAGCTGTGATACGGGGTGGACACTGTCCCTTCCTTTGTGTCCAGATTGCACAGCACACAATGTAAAATGATGTCTGCAATTCCCATGTTCTATTCTCTGTAAAAAGGAATGCAGGTGCCCTCCTAAATGGGGACTAAATGTACTTATGATTTCGTAAATCCCTGTTTATTGGGACACTATGTTCTCAGGGTGTTTTTACCCCCACCCCTACATCTCCAGCACTAAACAAAGCACCTGCATTAAAATGAAGAAATGAAATTGATGATGGGTTCTTTTGCATCTTTCATGCCCATAATTAATACTGGATCATTTTACTCTTTCTCCTTCAACTCTAGGAATTCAGAAATGATACTGTGATTTTTCTGCTTTCCCCTACTTAAAGCACCGGCATCCTTTTCCAAGGGTCGGTGCATACATGTTAGAACCTACTCATCCTTATGCCTAAATAAGCAAGGTTATAGTAACCTGAGTCATAACCTGTTTAGCAGAACGAGGGAACCGGAGGAGTTAAGAAGCCATAAGTGCAGACACCATCACTCCTCTGCCCACCCCACAAATGTGGGTTGTTTATTGCACCACTGTTCTTCAATGAGAAACCACTATATAAATCCTGGGCGCACGGAAAGGGCTGCTGGTGATTCAATTCACCTCTGAGTCACTAATTAATCGTGGGTGGAGAGCAGTTTTAGGTAGAGCGGAGACCTTTAAACCAGCATTCTGCAGCTTTTCAGCAACAGCAGCGGCACAGTACAGTTCTGGCTCAGTGAGTTGGCTGATCAGCGAGATATGTTCTTGGGCAGATTTTCTGCAAGATCCATAATAGATTCAGGGGAAGAAAAGATTTAATCTCTGCCAGAATAAATATTTGCTCCTTATCGGAGGCACCACACATTTGCCACTGTAATCAAGGCTTTGGAGAGATCTTCTAAATACCGCGAGAGCTCCCGCCAATGTCCGTGGAGACCCTTACCCAGATGCTCCATCGTGTTCCCCCACAGTGCTAACTGCGGCTGTGCTCGACCTCAGATGTGGTCTCTTTACTTGCGGTAATAAGATTTCATTACTGCAACCTCCTTGTCATTTGTCATGGCACCACAGTGGCATTGTAATCTGTGGCTAACTGCTTTGTCTCAGTTCGTTACAAGTCATACGGCAAGTACCCATATAGTTGCCTAGGACTGAATTCATCACACTCAGCTGCCATGAAAATGAACTCTGCTGGCTCATGCGTTTGGAGAGGAGACCATTTGAGGGATAAAGAGTGTTGGCTTTGGAGACAGCCCCAGCTGACCTTTTGGGAAAGTGACCTAACTTTTCCGAACCCCTTTTTAGTATTGTACGGTGGGGACAGGACACCAGCTTTCCAGACTTCCTAGGGCCGTTATAAGGTAAAATGATACGATTACAATGATGAACATGACAGCACTTGACAAGTAATAAAATATTATTCAAATAAAAGGGATAAATGAGATCAGCAGAAGGAACAATCCAAACATTTGACTGACTATATGTCACACCCTGTGAGCACTGGGGAAGTTAATTTGTTCAATAGGATAAACATGGTTTCAGCATGGCATGGTTCAAATAATGCCTCTCTCTCGCTCTGAGAGCTTTGTGACCTTGGGCAGGTTATTTAACTTCCAACTTCCCCACTATAAAGGGATCTGGGGAAGAAGGGAAAGGCGAATTGCTACCTTTGAAGCTTGTTGCGAGGATTTTAGGAGAATACATGTGTGTGAAACACCCGGCACGTTGCTGCCCATACTTTGGGACTTCAATAAATGTCAGTCATCTTCTCCCTTTCTCTTCCCTCATCAGTATAGTTGAAAGTGGTGGTGCGAGCTAAGGGCTGGCTGGTTGGGCGACAGTGTCATCAAGAAATATTGTAAATATAAATGTAAATTTTAGCAAAGAGAACATTAAAAAACAACATTTGCATGGTTGATTTCCTGTCACAATTTGGTAGCTGCTCTCTCTTCGCATTCCTCGGTGTCTTTTATAAGCCCGTCCAAGGCAAGCAAAGTGTAGCTGCAAAACCAGCATGCCTATAAATTTTAATAACTCCACACCCATCACCACTAAAGTTGCTACCAAAGGCAATCACTTCAATCTATGTTCTTCCTTGATATTAAAAACACAGACAAGTGGTAAATCAGAAGACATTACCAAAGAGTCCTCAAGTGCAATAAAAAAAAAAAGTCTGTTAAACACACACACACACACACACACACACACAAAATAAGACTGAACAGGAAAACAGCTGTCTGTAAATAGCCAGTAAGTCATTCTTCACCAATAATAACTGTTTACAAGCCCACCTGGTTCCTCAAATTAGTCCGGCTCCAGCTCTCTGATCTTCCATCAGCCACATTATGTTATTGCTGTGGAGGTGACCCAGGAGATCCTACCAACACCAGGGTCAGATTTCAGGAGCAGAGATGCACAAGGGCAAGAAAAATCCTCAGGAATAAAGACCTCCCCGCAGGCAATCTCTTCATTCGTTCCACAGTGCCCCCAGGGAAGGCAAAAAGCACCATCCACTAGTTTAGACAATTGAAGCTGACAGAAACAGAACTGGGACTCTCAAAGGTATACCCGGGAGATGTGCAAAGGAAGCAGTTCTCAATATCCTGGCTTCCAGGCTTCCCACAGAATCTGTGAGTTCAGGGCTAAGCAGTCATAAAGAAAGAACAACAGGTATGTGATCCCTCTTGGGGCCAGACACTGCCAGGTCTGGCATAGCTGTTCCAAAGTCTGGGTCGCAGTAAATAAAACAGTCAGTGACAGCGTTACTGTCCCCCCATTATCGGCTCGTAGTAAGAGAGGATTTCTAGGTCCCCTTGTGATGTGCAGGGCCAAGAAACCAGTGGTAACCAATAAATTAGGTGTCACTCCTGAGCCATGCATTAAACTGCTGGTGTGAGACCAACCAGAGTTCTCCCATTGGCTCTCAACCACTGTGCCCAGCAAATCTCTGGCAGTGGCCTCTTTGTCAGACTGGGTCATTGAGTGAGGATGGCAACAAGCCAACTCACAATGGACACGGAAAATGAGAAACAAATCTTGATTGTTTTATGCCACCAAATCTTGAATCTGCTTGTTATGCAGTGTAACCCAGACTACGTTGAAGAATGGGTAGGTGTGTGGAAGGTACTTTTTGATAGAACAATTTTTTTTAAGATTTTATTTATTTATTTGACAGAGAGAGATCACAAGTAGGCAGAGAGGAAGGCAGAGAGAGAGGGGGGGAAGCGGGCTCCCTACTGAGCAGAAAGCCCGATGTGGGGCTCGATCCCAGGACCCTGAGATCATGACCTGAGCCAAAGGCAGAGGCTTAACCTACTGAGCCACCCAGGCGCCCAGAAGAACAATTTTTGAATT